CAGCACCTGTATATATATCTATATATATATATATATTTATATATATATATATATATATATATATATATATATATATATGTGTGTGTGTGTGTGTGTGTGTGTGTGTATATATATATATATATATATATATATACGTGTATATATATATATATATATATACGTATATATATATATATATATATATATATATATATATATACGTATATATATATATATATATATATATATATATATATATATATATATATATACACACACACACACACACACATATATATATATATATATATATATATATATATATATATATATACATACACACACACACACACACACACACACACATATATATATATATATATATATATATATATATGTATATATATATGTGTGTGTGTGTGTAGTGTTTATAAATCCTCCCACTTCTGTTCTCGATTATTTGTGCTGAGTTGGCCGTGAATTAAAGGCTGACCTATATCAGTCGGTCAACATCTATCTCACCGGGCCCTGGCGCTGTTTTCAGAAAACAGTTGAGCCTGATATGAGCATGAAGAATTTTCATACCTGCTATCCTGCTTTTCACTGCCATATTTAAACAAAGCGTTCTAGAATCTCCAGAGCCATGTTAAAAGTCCCAAATAAAATTGAAAATACAGATTTTCACAAAATCTATCAGTATGTGCCAGAGGAGGGCAGTAAAGTCTCAATATTGACAAAGCTGCAGCAAAGAAGCACCAGTAAATTTGCTCATCTGCCTGGATAAAAACACAGAAGCATAATGAATTAGAAAATTGAAAACAGGTGTTTATTTAGCCCTATCTATTGCTATCAATTCATTAGATATTTAGACACACCAAGTTATGTTCTTCAATATCATTTTTGGTGTGTAAAGGTAAAAAAAATAAAATGATTGTGGACATTTTCAGAATCAGAATCAGAAAAAGGTTTATTGCCATTGTCAGGGAACAAACAATTCACAAACTGGAACTTGCTTTGGTACTAATGTGCTACATATAACACGAACACACAATAACAATAAAAATAGACTAAAACTATCAGCTAAAAAAAAATGGCAGGTAATGGTAACATGGCCGATAACGTGACGATGTGACGAGTACAGAAGACGAGCATGGTTGCATGTTTATAAGCTGTTCACAAGTCCAACGGCAGATGGAAAGAAACTGTTCTCATGGCGGGAGGTTCTGGTCCGGATGGACCGTAACCTCCTGCCTGAGGGAAGCGGCTCAAAAAGTCTGTGTCCCGGGTGAGAAGGGTCAGCTGCTATCCGACCTGCACGCCCCCGAGTCTAAAGTGTTTAACCTGGTTCTGTTGCCAGGAAATACTCATATGATTGAAACATTAACAAATATTTATTATTTGTAAATACATAAAGATGAAAACTGTGCATCACTGAAATTTGACAGATTTAAATGCAAAATCTAAAACATTATCGTGTACCTTTTACACTGATGCTGCGTCAATATTAATGTAATCCAGTCAGACTACGTTCTGTTTGCTGCATCCTACCCAGTTTGTTCTTCATGACTTGTTGCAGTAACTTTAAAAAATCACATCGCAACGTGTGCTGCTGTCAGTGTCAGTGGATTATTTGAAGCAGAATGGGCAGCATGACTACACACATGCGCAAGAGGATTAACAAGCTTCAGAAAGTAACTGCCCAATTTTACTAATGACACAGGTTTATGCTGCAGCTGACAGGACAGACTGTAATTTTGAAATTTGAAAATATTTTTCATAGACTGCTGCTATGTAGCTTTTCTGAATACACATGTCAGATGAGTGGATAATCTTTTAGAAATCATTACTGAGCAGAATGAAAAGCATCAACATGGTCCTCTGGGGTTGATTTCTGGTAATGACTTGATGTCTGATGTGAAAACTGAAGTAAAAGAGAAGTGTAATGAGAAATCGCTTGACGAAAAGTGGAATGTAATTAGATAAATGATCTGCAGGCAATGTGTCATGTCTGACTTTTGCTGTAAATTTCATTTTACTAATGCTGGACTGGACACCACTATAATATGACATCATTACATAACACACATGCGCATGCAAGCGTTGGCTCATGTTTTTCATGTCTGTGATATAATCAGAGCTATGAAGCCTGGTGTGTAATGTTTTAAGGATTTACTCTGGCCTTTGTTTCCCCGGAGTCATGCTCACCCTGCTCTAGATTGTCTTTCACCTGAGAAAACAGCCTCATTAAAGGAATACTTTGCAAATTTCTCATATTTTTAAATACTTTTCTTGAGCCAGTATGTGCTAGAATGACCCTTTACAAGGTTACTGAAAGGCCACCCAGCCTCTACTGGCCCAGTGGCCAGAATACTCCACTTGCAACGTTAGACTGGCAGGCCGCTCTGTTGGGATTTGGGAAAATATGACATATCCGAAGCTGTAATCTGCTTGTAGCACATTTCTTGTGTGCTTTAGATCATGAACACAGCTGATTTGTTTAATTTAGTGAGAATCACTCCTGTAGATGAAGGTTGAGGAGAAATTTCAGCTTTCAGATTATCATGTTAAAAAGAGTAACGCACAGATTATGGACACAAAAGGGTGCTAAAATCAAGCCAAAACAGGCGAGTTCCCCTTTAAATAGATTAGAAATGTTAGGTTTCAGCAGAAAAGAGTGCTTCATCAGTAATGAGCGCAACATAATAATTTATTTTAGTTGTCTTTGACAAACAGTGTTGTTTTTTTTTAGTAGTCAGCATTAAAAATCGTCATAAATTTACAAGATGTTAACTGTAGCTGAGTCTTGGTCACACAGGTGTTGGATTAAAAACTAGATTGTAGATTATCTGATTAATTTTTGGCATCACAATTTTCTCTTAAAGTCAACATATAAAATAGTTTGGGCTTTAAATAAGGGTGACCTTTTTAAAAAAACATCCATCATAATTGAAATGACATAGAGAAGTTTTATTATATATAAAGCATTCTAAATATTTACGAATTTATTATCTGGTTAAAAATAATATCTAGATTGATTTAATTGCTCTCATAATTTGAAATTAAAACATTTTTGTTCACAAGCATCTAAATCATCTGTTTGGAGTGATTGGGAAAAATGAAATAAATATGGAAAAGAACATTTTGCAGCCTCCAATATGTTTCGAGTTGTATTTTTTTGTTCATGCTTCTGTCACACATGGAGGATTTCCTATCGCTGTCATTTCTTCAGTTGACCTAAATTTGAAAGATTTCCAACGATTTGTGAAGAAAGATAATTAAATCCGTCGCTCTCAAAGTTGGGGTGCAGACCAACAAAACACATAACTTAGGTCCTGAAATAAGAAAACCTGAAAGATGTTTCCTAAAACCCTCATTGATGCTGTGATCCTGGTAAAACATTTTCACAGGTTTTGGATATAAAGGCTAAAATGGTTAGTAATGAGAACAATATGAGTTAAAGCAATTTGCTTTTATGCATTATCTCTCATGTGCAGACAGTGATGTGGGGCCACAGGTTATTGTTATTTTGTGGGTCAAAGGTAGAACATTTTAAAGAAATATATATTTACTAAATCGGAATCAGCTGCAAAGTCCAGAAACAGATGAAGAATGAAACTGTGATCTCGTCTAAAATGAGTTTTGGTTTGGTGATACTGTTCCAACGTTGTTGCTTTTGCTAAACTCTTTAAAAGCTACCAGCTATAAAGCCCAATCAGGTATATGCTTGCCTCACTTTAAACTTAGGGTTGTACTGTTCTAAAATTATTGTCAACTGAAAGAATCAAAGACAGAATTAAACAAGTGTGTGTCAGAAGCTTATAAAGAGGCTAATCCGTCTCTGACGAGTGCTTTTATGCTTTCTTCCTGTGACTCCACAGCCTGTTTCCATCTTTAGCTTTGACCAAATTAGATCACTGGTCCAAACACCGTCTGCTTTCTAATCAGCAGTCAGCCAAAGGTGGAGCGTTTTCTAGGAATTTGATGCTAATCTGGATACTTCAGTCCCTCGGGAGAAAATACCTCCTGAATGCAGGTAGGAGAGGTACAACTGACGATTGAGTTAGGATGTGAATCTACTGAACTTTTATCCAACCATCCATTTTCCTCCGCTTATTGCAACGTACTGCCAGCAATGCGGACCAAGCTCGGACACCGGTCATACAGGGACCCAACAGCCCGTATCAGAGGGCCTGGTACCCCATACTCCCAGAGTACCCCCACAGGCCCTGCCAAGGGACGCGGCCGAACGCCTTCTCCAAATCCACAAAACACATGTAGATTGGTTGGGCAAACTTTCTCGCACCCTCCAGGACCCCCCTAAGGGCATAGAGCTGGCTAAGACGAAAGCCACATTGCTCTTCCTGAATCTGTGGTTCTGCACTCGGACTGACCCTCCTCACCAGAACCCCTGAATAGACCACCAGGGAGGCTCAGGAGTGTGATCCCCCTGTAGTTGGAACAGTTGAACACTTCATATCCAATAATGTGCAGCTTGTTTGTGTCCTGAAGGGATATCTGACATTGATGTGTCTGTTTTTCATACAAATTCAAGATTTTCTTTAAAAATATATATGCCCCACCCCCCCACCCACCCCCGAGAATCTTTTCAGCATCTCTGTGTTTTCTTATTCACTCTTTATTTTTCCTTCACTCTTTTTGTAATGATTGAAATTGCTGCTGCAGCACCAACCTTTCCTCACTAAGGGACGATAATAACAGGATGTTCTATTCTACTTCAATTTTCTTTTTTTACAAAACTGTTAGTTTTCTGTGTGGGTTAAATTTTCGATGTGTGCAGGATATGCTGGGCTCTGTCATACTGCTGCTCATCCAGGCAGATGTAAGGTGTGCCCCCATTGGCTGAGTGGATTTTACCTGCTGGTGACGAATCTCCAGGCCAGAGTGGTCAGTGTGACAGATACAGTGATTATTTATGGAGTGAATAGATTTAGCAGCTCAGATTATGGTCTCTGTGCCTTACTTTAAAAAGACAGAACGTCACAAAAGCAGAAACAAAAAAATATTTCAGAGCCAAGTCAGCTGAGATTTAATCCCCCACACTGGTTTTATGTTCCATGATTTTTATCCCAAACTCTCACTAGACTAGTGGTCCACCATTTATACACATTCTCATGATCAAAAATGTAAAATTGTAATAAAAAAAGTCTCAAAATTAACTTGAGATAGATTTTTAAAGTGAGATTTTACACAGACTACACTAAAATGATTTGTTCTTAGTTTTGAGAATCTGTTAATCAGTTACTGGACCTTGAAAAGTGATTATGTTCAGTTTGCCTCAGGTGTAATTGCATAATACAGTCTTAAGAGTAAACACTTCCTCCTCTTAGACACAAGTTACATCATCAGCTTTAAGACAGAGCACTCAGCAGACAAGCAGCAGCGTTTCTTTACTGAGTTAAATCGGTACGAAGGAGATGTCCAGCATGAAGACAAGCTGGAAGAATCAGCTTCATCTGCACTGATCCAGCATGAGGTGCTGCAAACAGAAACACTGTCCAGGAACTAACATCTACTGTAAATGATACTACAACGTTTGGTTTGAAACATCTTAGTGTGGAAACAGGAAGAACCTATGATAAAAGCTGAGGATGGTCTTGTTGCTTGTCAGAACTTTGAGGTTCATTTTCATTTTGACTTCTTGACGTCTGGTTGGACGATCTTCTGTCCAGTGAGGAAGTTCCAAATGCCGCCTCGGTAGAACTCATTTCCAAATGAATAGAGGAGAGCGTTGAAGAAGGGGTTTGTCTTTGCAATAACTGGAAGCAGCTAGAAGAGAAAAGAAAAGTATCTTCACAATGTTAAAGGGAAGTCCACGGCCAGGCACTGGGCTGTGACTGCAGGTGGCAAAATCTAAACAGCATTCAGGAAGCAGTTTACAACATTTCTTGAAACATTTGTGAGAATTTTTAAATAAACGCAAAAAGTTGGTTGAATTTTTTTATTTCAGTTTCTGTCCAAGAAATGAGAAACTGATTTGGAAAAAGTTAAACAAGATATTTTGACATAATTAATAAAGGAATTATATTGTGCAAAATCCACTTTTTCATTGTTTCCACATGAAAAACACTTGGAAAGTAGTTTTTGGCTTCATGCATCCATTTCCTTGTCTCAGCTGGTTCTTCCCTTTGTCTCTGCTAAGCTATTGCAAAAGCCCTTTTAGGAAGTATGGAATCCAGATCCCTCCTCACTTGGACTGTAAATACTAACACCCAGTCTGTGAGTAGCTAGTAGAGAGTTTAATCGCTACTGTTGGGAAAAATTAATTAATTTTTTTATCTAGTCTTCTTTAAATAATGGCAAGAATCCAAAAATGCATTTTTGTCTGTGAGACAACAGGATCCCGGTCCGGTCTGAAGAATAGTTTAATCGGCAAAACAGGTTGGATTTTATCTTCAGGAGCTCTCAAAAACTGAGCCAGAAAGTGAATGTGATTTCACAGACTGTTTGTTATACAACTACCAGTACTGGAGTGGGTTTTTAGATTAATCACTTCCTCAAACCAGTGCCATTCCAACGTTAAAACCACCAGATGGATATGCCAGAATGGTGGGTACCAAAATGATAACTGCTAGCTGAATGGTTATAAAGTTCTGTGGGTGAGATGGATTTAAATGGTAATTAATCCCAGCTGCTTTGAGATTAATTATACTTTGGCACATGCAGGAGCTGCCTGCTGCTGGCGTGTTGAAAAAGCTGCTTTGCTGGGGATCTAGGATTATGTTACAAAATGGGTGGAATTCACGTGGGTGGACTCAAGATTTCATCAAATTCAAGTGTCTAATTTCCAGGTAGAAGTAATGACTCATGCTAATAATTAATCAAATAAATAATATTATTTAGAAAAAAAAAGACAATAGTAATCTCAGTAGTACCAACTAGAGGGAGATCAATATATCGGACGGCTGATATATGTTTACCATTTTTTATAAATCGGCCAATATTTGTGCTTAACAAAGACGATTTAAAATCAGGCACATCCTTGGGGCGCCCGGTGCTGTTGCAGAATTTAATTTAACCCTCCCGCATTGTTAATGGGGTCAGATGGACCTCTGGTGTATTTTTTTTTATTTTAATATTTTTTAAGGGATGCATCACTTCACCGCTGCGAAGGCATAAACTTTAAACCCCGTTTAACCATCCCCTGTCCTGGCGGGGTCACCTGATAGGAAAGTGGAAGGGTTAAATGCATTTTTACATCCACTAATAAAATCTGTATAATATTGTAAATAATCTAAATTAACTTTATTTATTTATCTGATTTTAACACCGAGCAGTACGCAAAGTTAAGATTTAACCCACTGTGCAAAAACCTAGTTTGGACATCCTACTGACGTGGTCTGGACCAACGGACTCAATATACACATGATCTGCACGTCCATGTGACGTGCACTGTTTCCAGGGAATAATTAGTTAAATTCAGTCTTCAAAAACTGATCCAGCTTCAGACATTTTGTGCCTCAACTAATGATATTAATGACATTTTAGCATGAAAATAAGGTTGAAAATGTCTAGATATCAGCCATGAAAATCATCCTATAACAATTGGTAGTGTATATCGGCCATCTGCTTAGCATGTCTCCTACATATCTGCATCGGTATCGTCATTAGGAAAAACACTATTGTCAACCTCTAGTGCAAACGATTGTATTTTATCATATGTTGTGTCTATTGTTGCTCTGAAACGTGGAAACCAGCATGGTGCAGGCTCTTTAAGGCACATAGCGGCTAAATTGCAACATGAAAATCTTTGGAAAGTCCTTCGATGGTATATAACAGTAACTTCCTCTATGGTAAAAAAATAACATCTACTTAAAATTGGGGTTGCCTTTAAAAATGCTGTGATTAGATTTTTATTCCACATCCCCTACCATCAGGCTAAAGTTTTCAGTCAATCTTTACTGCCAATTAAAAAATAAATTCATACAATACATTTGCAATGTTTTATAGTAATAAAGCCACCAAAAAGATAGAAGTTTTATCAAATGCCTGACTCTACCTGAAAATGAACACATTTTCTCTAAATTCTGTGTTCCCAACAAGTCACCAAAAATCTCAGCCCAGTAAGATACTGTTAGTCCATATTAAATAAATGTCACAATTTGAGTTTTTAACACAGTCTTAGCTGATAAAGGAATATGATAACATGCTACACTAAATAACTTTCTAAATAACTTCTCTGCTCTGTGTTTGACCAAATAAAAAGGTCTCACCATTCGCAGCTTTGGAGAGACGAGTTTCACGTTGTCGAAGCAGGCGTAGACACACATGACGATGTAGGGACCCCAGCACATAAGCAACACTCTCAAGGGCAAACTGGTGTTGAACTAAGAATTACATGAATTATGTGAGTGTTGATGCAAAATGGAAAATCATGGAATTTGGAATATTTGTTAAAGAACAAAGGCACAAAAAATCTTGTTATTATTTAAATTATTAGATAAAAAAGGCTAAAGTCTTGTCAAAGTGTTCATAAAATGTACTTCAATCAAAAAGCCATGTTTTAGGAAGTATTGCCAAACATTCACACATTTTCTCTTCAGAAATGTGTGACGGGATCCCACAAGGTTCAATTCTTGGCCAATTTAAAATTTTTTATAAATTAATTGTACATATTTAATAAAAATGAAATGCATGACTGTATAAACAATGTTAAGGTACAAATTTGGTTAAAATTTGCAGCATACTCACCCTGTGATGATGAACCTTCTTGAACTGTCTGTAGATGCCATCATAACATGACATGGCAGTGAAAGCTGGGAACAGCAGGTACAGCAGCACCAGACTCAGCATGTAGGTGATATAGTCCCTGTCGGAATAAAAATTATTCCAACCAGTGAAGCTTCTGTTCATCAGATTCTGCAGGAATTGTGTGTTTCTATAACTCTACCTGTCCCCTCTGGTGTAGTCCAGCGTGCAGCACGTCTTCATGGGTTCAAAGTCGTACACGCCCCATCCCATGAGTGGAAGAGCGGACCAGAAGATGGAGAGAATCCAGATGAGGCTGGTTATCGTCAGGGTTGTGCTCCAGAAAAGCTTTTGTCCTACAGAATTAAAATGTGAAATTAAACACTTTGGATCCAACTCGAATGCCTTAGCCTGATATTAAGGGATACTGAGGATCTAAAATTAGCAGCTGATCACATACCAGAATGTTGTGTTTCACACGTTAAAAACAACATATCAGCTAAATTTGTTTGAATTGTTTATAGCAAAAATAAATAAAACTCACCATCAAAATCTGATGTTTGATCATTTCAGTTAAATGTTTTAAATTCCACAACAGAAAACTAAGTTTATGTTTTTCGATTTCACATTTTAATTATATTACTGTATGTTCAACACAACCTAACAGCTCAGTTTATACATGGACTCAGATTCTAGTCCCTATATCATGCTGATGATTGGTTACATTTTTTCTTTCATCGTTTTCTTTCTTTGTGTGTAGAAAGAGTAAGTGTAGTAGAATAAGGAAAGCCAAAAAGCCCAACTTAAAACCAAATCACCATTATTGTTTGTTCTTTCCTGATAGCATTGGACGTAATAAAGAGTTTCTATTTTTATGCAGTCTTTAGTAAATCTAGCAGAGAGACCCTAATCCTGTCAGACCTAATGCGCTGCACGATTTACATAAATCCATCTATTTTGATTATGTTGGAATTGGAGTGCCCATTTAAACAGATAAGTCTTCTTTTCAAGCAATGTTTGACAGCAGTGGAAGTTCTTGGCAATCTGCAGCCTTAAAATAGCTTAATGAAGCCACAAATTTACTCTAATGAAGACAAAATAAGTAAAAAGTCAGATTTGTAAACATTAGGTTTAACTAAAATAAATATTGTTAGGAAGAAATTACCAACAACTGTCTTCTCTGCAACATGCGTTTGAACTTTTTGCTCATTTTTTAAGTTTGACCCCACCCTAGATCTGAGATTTATCGAGATTATGGGTCTGTGCTCAATCCTTAAGGACATCGTTTGACGTTTCCAGGAATGAAATAGAAGTATTGGGTCACTCTGTCAAAAAGTCAAAATATGACAGATCCGAGGTTTAGTTTTTGAGATATTTTAGTTCATTTGGCACAACTTGTGAAGTAGATTTTTGTCCTGTGTAGTGAAGGTATGCCGTCCTCACAGCACGTAGCTATGTGTAGCCAGCTGACAACTAAAACAAAAACCAGAATCTTCACCCAAGGCTTGTTCTTCTGATTTGAAGATCGTTATGAATGTTTCATCATCATAGCTGTCATACAGAACAAATACATTACTAACTAATACAAACATCTTAGCGTCACGCTGAGGAAGAATGAGGTTCAGCTGCTGATGGAGACAAAATAAAAATGGAGCTTTTCTCATCCATCCATCAATCCATTATTGTCGCTTATCCAGTCGGGTGGCGAGGGCAGCAGCCTGAGCAGAGAGGCCCAGACTTCCCTCTCCACAGCCACTTGGGGCCAGCCCCTCCGGGGAAATCCCAACATTCCCTGGCCATCCAAGAGACATAGTCCCTCCAGCGTGTCCTGGGTCTTCCTTAAGGTCTCCTCCCGGTTTGACGTGCCCGGAAAACCTCACCAGAGAGGTGTTCAGAAAGGCATCAGAAAGCCTGAGCCACCTCAACTGGCTCCTCTCGATATGGAGGAGCTCCTACGAGCCCCTCCCGGATGACCGAGCTTCTCTCCCTGAGAGAGAACCCAGCCACCCTGCGGAGAAAACTCATTTCAGCCGCTGATCTGAATCTTGTTACTGGTTTTGCAAATCACATAAATGGTTACACAAAAATAGTAACCAGTAGCAGTAGTGTCTTGAACAAGTAACTTTAAGTGGATTAATGATATGGAAATAGTGACACATTAGCTTAGTCGTTACTGAAAAAAATGGTAATTTTAGAGTAACGCGCTACAAGGTAACACGTTACTGGTGCCACCTCTCCAGAATAATCTAGCTGAAGAAGTAGAAACAGCACTTGAGGAATTAAATGTAGCTGAGGAGTTTGTAAAACACAAAATCCCCTTTGAACAGAGACCCTTTATTATCAGCTGAAGTTTGTTCAGTCGGGTCTGGAAAAAAAATGCTGCATAAGATTAGAAATACATGTGATGGCTTGTGTTGAACCAAGAAAATAAGCTTTTCTCATGATCTGTCAGGAATTCACCTCTGGTGGGGCAGCAAAGGAAACTTTGTGGTTTATTGTTTACACTTCACTTACTGGTGCAGTACTGGTGATATCGGTCCCAAGCTATGGCAGCCATGAAGCTGATAGAGGCCAGAACTGATATCATCCCCTGGAAAGCATGGTAATCACAACCACTTTGACCAAACGGCCAGTACCTACAGTAGACAAAGAAACTGGTGTTACACTTCATCCTGCTGCAAGATTACAGAAGCATTTCACGGGAGATTAACCAGCTGGGGCCAAATCTGCCAAATAAAACCTAGTTTTAATGTTACACAGTTGAAACTGTCAGACTGATAAAAACAGATTACATGAAGTGAAAAGCAAATTGTTGGGCTACCAGTGAAATGTTTAAATGAGCTTTTGAATAAATGTAGCTTTTGCTTCATAGTTGCTGAACATTTGCTTCTTTTTGAAGCAGAAAAAACAAATATCAACAAATACCCCAAAATGTTATGAGAAAAGGGCCTGATCTGATATTTTCCAAAAAAAAAATGTTTTAATCAATATACAATAAGCCACATTTAATTTATTGTCAAAATTATAACCAAAAACTTTGCACCTTTATTACCCGAGCTTTGATTTCCAACATTTTATTAAAATACAAGAAAAATCATAACCAGGCAGCCACAATTTATTTGTGTTCTCAAAAATAGAACATATGCATTATTGCAATGTAAATAAAAGAAAATTTACTTGATTTATAGTTTGTAAAATAACTTTTTTTGTTAACTTTCAAGATTGTGTTTTGAAATGTTGTCAGATCTTTTTGTGATGGATTATGAATCACAGGCGCTTTTCTGGTCTGGGCTTAATCAAATCCACCAGATTCAGTAAAACATGAAATACATGATGTCACCTGTGTCTCTGTTACCTGAGATAACTTGCATAAGCAGCTGTGAGTCCATTTAGATTCAAACTGATGTCGGCCAATGCCAGATTGAACACCAGGAAGTTACTGGGATTCCTCATCTCCTTCACTTTGAGGAAGGCCAGGATGCTGATGGCATTGAGGAAGAATCCAAGCAAGCCTGCAGGAACAGTCTGAGTTAACACCAACACAATAAGTCCTACTTTTCCTTTATTTATGGCTGTCAAAGCCTGCAGACTAATATTGGATGCATGTTTTGTTAAAATTGTTGCATTAATTAAAAAGATGATGGGGTTTTGCACGCTGACATTCCTCCTTGTTACAGGCCTCTGTCTCTTTAACAGTGGCTCAACTTACCCCCAACAAGAAGAGCAGAGCCGAATGCAAACATATCAAACTCCGAGAATCCCTCTGGTAATGTGTGTGTCCCCATGTCAGCAAGTTCAGCCCTGCGGCTCCTTTCCTCCCCGGGTGTCAAATCACCTCCTTCCTACAAACTGTCTTATAATAAAGGAGGTCTCACGTGAAAAAGCATAAAGAACCTAATCGCTGCTAACCCCCGGCCACAATCCTCGGAGGAATGTGTCCAACCCCCCCCCCCCCCCCCCCCACACACACACACACACACACATGCACACACACACACACACGCACACACACACGCGCGCACACACAGACACACAGACTCGCAGCTACTCCCTAAACGCAAAAAAAAAAAAAAAAAAAAGATTCAGCGCAAGTATTTCAGTTGAGAAACCTCCACACAGGCTTCTGGACTTTGGTTCAACAATCCTTCTCTGATCAGGACAATGGAACTATGGGAAATGTTGTTTTTTAAACAGTGAGGTGGACTTTCACACAGTCCGCCCCTGTCAATGTGATGTTGCGAAATAGTAGAACGTAGCAGATAAGACTTCTTAAAGGCATAAAGTAAAGAGAACACACATACGTTGTTTTTGCTGACTCATCTTGAATTAAGAACACAATAAAGACAAACCTAAGCAGCAGATTAAAGGACCATGCACTTGTTGTCTCCCTCTATTTAAAAGGAAAGTTCAGATATTTACCAATATGACCAATAAATAATATTTCAACTGCACAACCGATCCCGAATGGCTTTTGTTCAGAGAAATGGCTTTTACCTTCCCCACGATTGATAAGCTAATGGCTAGTCTCAACCAAGACCAAGTATTGCTACCACATCAATGTTCTCACAGTTAATTTAACACAATTTTTTTATAAAACATTTAAAACATTTTCACCATTTCTGTTCAGCTATTTACATGCTGCTCTGGTTATTTAAAAGCAATAGAATAGAATAGAGCTCCGGACGTCACGTGGTTCTCAGAGAGTAGACGCCATGTTGTCAGGCAACAAAGGCAAACAAAATGAATGGGATCGGCTTGGACTTTACTCCGTCGGAGTTTACTTCACACTTTAAAACCGAAGAAAATCGTTTTATATAGTCAGAAATTAAAATAGACTAAACATCTCCGACCCTTACCGTGCCCCTGTGATATTTTTATGAACGCCAGAAGCTGTTGGAGCGGACTTCTTACCAGATTTGAGATGCCCTGACATTTATAATTAATCAAACTGATTAAACAAAAACACAAATAACATAGATTTACATGTAAGAAGTTTAAATAGAGTGCTGTGCTGTTTGAATGTATAAACTGAACGCCAAGAGAAATCACTAGTCTGATTTTTTTCCGTGAATAAAATAAAAATGTCAGGCAGGAGCGTGTCAGGATCTGTCTGAGATCTGTCTCGGTGAGACAGATAATAGCAATCCAAAGTGCGTTTTATGTGCGATCTGACAATTGATCAACCATTGCTTAAAAATTAAATACAGCTTAGCTGGTTGATTGCTGTGATCATAAAACACATAAACGGCAGCACGCAGAAACACAAGGCAACGTTTTACATGATGTTTACTCGTTGCTGTGAGTAATAAGACAGAAAAAGCTACGCCAAAATAAGTTTAGGAAGTCCACTAAGAATCGTAATAAAAGCATTTAAAATAAATACCATACACAGCTGAGGAAACGTTTAAGTACCTGATATGAAGTGGTCGCTGCATAAGTGAAAACCTTTACTCTCGGGATCCCACAGTTTCATTTTAGCCCGGTCACTAGCGCGTTTTATTGCAATGATCCAACGTTTGCGGCGTTCCAGATCTTGGGGAATCCTGTAGATGGCTCATCCCTTATGTCGTCTGCTTCTGTTCTGGCATCTGTTTTGCTCACGTTCGGGTGTTTAATTACATTTTTCTGGCTTTAGATTCAGGTTTCCATGTGGTTCTGGTACTTTTGGATCTATCTGCAGCATTCGACACGATCGATCATGACATTTTGATCACAAGACTTCACACTTGGGCTGGCATTTCAGGCACAGCCCTGGATTGGTTTAGGTCATACTTTTGTAACAGGTCTGCTAGGGTCATGTTGGACGGCTGTTCATCAGAGTCACAGCCTCTACGTTGGGGTGTCCCACAAGGTTCAATTCTCGGCCCGTTACTGTTCAACCTCTATATACTGCCCTTAGGAGCCATTTTCAGAAAGCACGCTGTCGCATACCATCTTTACGCTGACGACTGTCAAATCTACTTTTCATTTAAGCCAACTCAATCAACGAAAGTTCTGTCTGATTGTATCCTTGAGGTCAAGCAATGGCTAGCTGACAACTTCCTCCATCTCAATGACTCCAAAACTGACTTAATCGTTTTCAGTCCTAACAGTACCACGGCGACTCATCAACCTGACCTCAACTATCTCTCACCTAATGTCATGCTGGGCTGCAGTTTTTTGACCCACGACATGCAGAATCATGCACGGAGACAAAGGTAAGTAAAAAGGTTTATTATAATGTATGAAGGAGATGATGGTCTGAGATCCGATGGTTCCGGTGGGGTTCTAGAACAGAGACTGGAGTGAGTATATGCAGGTTTGACCGTGAAAGAAATGAGTTTGTAGCTTACAGTTTCCTGGTTGTTGGTAAGGCTGAGAGGGGTGGGCAAGTCACGGCTGGCTGAGCTGGTAGAGCGAGAGTCAGGTGAGGCTGGGAGCTGAGTACCAGAGTTGGAGGTGTCCGAGTTGGCAGGTGGGGATTTGGAGAGCAGGCGGTCAGGGGTGAGCGATGGGACTGGCAGACAGGGTTGGAATCCGATGAGTCTTCTTGCAGCTGATGGAGGCTTGGTTGGTGGAGGAGAAGTTTCCTGAGGAGGTCGGAGGAGAACAGGACAGATAATCTCAGGAAGGCGAGATACACAAAAAACAAGTTTTCAGACATGCGCTAGGTGCTGGCAAAGTTCTACCCAATGCTGAGTATCATCCGGTACTGATGAGTTGTCCCAACGCTCCTTAAATCCCCTGACCACTGATGAACAGATAGGTAGCAGCTGCTCTCCAGCTGCTCTCCAGACACACCCACCTGCACACAGAAGACTCAGCACAACACAGTTAGATTCAGCAAACCATGACAGTACCCCCCCCTCAAGGGCCGCCACCCGGCGGCGAAGAGGAGGAGGAGGCGGAGGCGGAGGAGGCACGAGAAGCGTCAAACTCCCGGATGAGGGATGGGTCGTCAATCCAAGAACCAGGGATCCATTGACGGTGCTCCGGGCCATAACCCACCCAATCAACCAAGAACTGGCGACCTCGGCCACGGGGTCTGGCATCCAACAGGCGACGAACCCGGTAACCCATACTACCATCAGCAAGACGGACAGGCGGCGGGGGATCAGAGGCAGAAGCGGGACACAGGGAACTGGATGACACAGGCTTGATGAGAGAGACATGGAAGACTGGATGGATCTTGAGCGAGGGAGGCAAAGAGAGACGAACAGACCAGGGACTGATGACCTCACATATGGTATAAGGGCCTATGAACCGGGGGGAGAGTTTCTTGCTGGTGTCTTTGAGCTTGATGTCCTTGGTCGAAAGCCACACTTGTTGTCCACAAGCATAAGGAGGAGCCGGACGACGATGGCGGTCCGCCAGTCGCCGATTCCGTTCGGCTGTGCGGTGCAAAGCGGCACGAGTCTGGGTCCAGGTTCTTCTTGCTCGTCGAATGAACTGTGGCACGGTGGTTGTTGTAGGGAGATCAGACGGGAAGAGTGGAGGTTGATAGCCTAAAGAAGATTCGAACGGGGATTGACCAGTAGCAGAGGAAACATGGGCGTTGTGAGCGTACTCAATCCAGGGAAGTTGGGTGCTCCAGCTAGTTGGATTTGAGGAGCACACACAACGAAGCATGGCCTCCAACTCCTGGTTGAGTCGCTCACATTGGCCGTTGGTTTGGGGGTGATATCCGGAACTCAGGGAGACGCTGGCTCCTAGTGAGGTAGCAAATTCCTTCCAGACCCTGGAGAGGAATTGGGGACCACGATCTGAAAGGATTTCTGTTGGGATGCCATGTAGGCGGAAAACGTGTTTTATGAGAAGTTCGGCGGTGACGGCGGAGGAAGGAAGAGACTTTAAGGGGACGAAATGACAGGCCTTAGAAAACCTATCGATGATGGATAAAATAACTGAAAAACCCTTAGAGGGAGGCAGACCGGTGACAAAATCCAGGGCTATGTGGGACCAAGGGCGAGAAAGAATTGGCAGAGGTTTAAGTAATCCAGAGGGAGGTTGGTTAGTACCTTTATTGCGGGCACATACCTGACAGGCGCTGATGTATTCCTTTATGTCTCTGTACATGGAGGGCCACCAGAAGGACCGACGAACCAGAGCAAGGGTACGGCCAACTCCGGGATGTATTGAAAATCTGGCTGTATGTGCCCAGTGGATGACTGACCCTCGGACCTGTTGTGGAACATAGAGCTTCTGGGGAGGACCGTTCCCTGGGTCCGGGTCAGTTCGTTGCGCCTCTATTACCTTTTGTGAGATATCCCAGGTGATTGATGCCAGAACGCAGGATGGAGGAAGTATGGTAGCGGGTTCCTGGTCTTTGTCTGTGGAGTACTGACGGGACAGGGCATCTGGTTTCACATTTTTGGTTCCGGGTCTGAAAGAGATAGTGAAGTTGAACCGAGTGAAAAACAGAGACCAACGGGACTGTCTGGGGTTAAGTCTTTTGGCTTCCTTCAGATAAGCGAGGTTCTTGTGATCTGTCCAGATTATGATGGGGTACTCAGCTCCCTCCAGCCAATGGCGCCATTCCTCCAGTGCGAGTTTCACTGCCAGCAACTCCCGGTCACCCACATCATAATTTTGTTCTGCAGGCGAGAGTTTCTTTGAAAAAAAAGCACAGGGGTGAAGCAAGTTATCGGAAGGAGACCTCTGGGAGAGAACAGCCCCCACCCCGGAGTCTGAAGCGTCCACTTCAACTGTGAATTGAAGAGTGGGATCGGGACGAGACAGGACAGGAGCTTGTGAAAAACGAGTCTTTAACTCCAGAAAAGCGGTGTCTGCCTCAGGGGTCCATACAAAAGTTCTCTTAGTGGATGTTAATTTGGTGAGAGGTGATGCTATTTGGCTGTAGTTGCGGATGAACCTTCTGTAAAAATTAGCGAACCCTAGGAACCGTTGTAACTGTTTACGGGTGGTGGGAGTGGGCCAATCACGAACTGCTTGGATCTT